CCCCCCTCCCCAGCCCAGCGCAAACCTCCGGGACGGGACGCAGCGCTGGGGAGGAAAGTGGCAGTTACCTGTCCCTCGCACCACGGCCGCCGCAGCCGCTGCTGCCGCCATTGGTCCATACGCAGTGAGGGGGATTGCTGGAAAGGAAGGAACAGGCATCTCAGGGCCATCGTGGCTACAGGGGGAGCTCCCGAACAGGAGCCTTCTTTTCCCCCTGGGAGATACCAGAGCCCCGCAGACGTGTCAGCCTCGTGGGTCCCACAGGGCATCCAGGGAGGAGGGTCAGGGAGCGCTGAGCCCTGCAGTTACAGGTCTCCTTTTGCACAGCCAACACCCAGGGGAAAAACTAGCCACGTTCTGCAAACCCCACACCCTGGAGCAGCTGAGGGCGGCACGTGGAAGAGCTACACCAGAAGGGGCAATTTCAGATCTACCTGGGCGCTACTTAACTTGCGAGACGTAGTTAATCTGAAGCTGGAGATCCAGATTTGGCTGTAAACGTGGAGAAGCTCGGCAGCTAGCAGCTCAGCCTCTCCTCGCCATCCTTTGGTGCTGCTCTTGAATAACAGTTTAATAGCCTCTTTCTCCCTCTTTCTCTACCCTGCTCAAGACACACCATCCTCCCTACTCGGAGTTTTGCTTCTGAACTGCTCAACCCCTTGATGCTCATTGTAGAAGAGCAGGAAACATACCTAGGGCGCAGGAACTAGAAATGGCTTAATTAAAACGGTAAGGCTTAATTTATATGTATTCCCACTTCTACTGCTACAGGCATCTAGCCCTCAGGGCAGGAGGCATCTAGCCAGTATGTTTCTCTTTGCCCTTAAAACGACTGGGTCAGCATTTCATGCCTGAATGTGAAATTCACTGTGATTCTGTTTAGAGCACCATAAAAAGAGGTCAGAACAAATCAATCGCGTTAGAAGGTTGAAACCCAGACTAGCTTATACAGGAATATTCAGCAGCAGGCACCAGCCTGTTTCAAGCACACATCATATGGGGCTTACACCTGGCTTAGTCGCTCTTTACAGGCCCTGGGCCAAGTTGCTGCTTCACATCACCCCCAAAGATGCTGTTCTGGGGAGGAAAGGCAGCTCACACCCATCCGCTGCCCCATCGCTGCCTCACGTCACTAACACGCAACTGAATGAATCTGCTTGCACCAAGACGGGAGGCCGGGTCTCCTCAGAAAGACTCCAGGTCTCCTTCCAAGAAAAGCCCTTCTTGCTTTTGCAGTCTGGCTGCTGAGGAATCAGGTTGGCGATGACACAGCACCTGCACGTTCGCTCCCCGACGTGCTGGAGCAATCATCCCCGCTTGTGCCATCCCCTCATCTCTGTTCCACTTGCCAAGCCCATGAAGCGCAGCCCATTTACACGCACGCATCCACTTCAAGGCACAAGGGCCCTCGAGCACTTGCACAGCTCGCTGCGCCTTTGTAGGAGCGAGGGGGCCCCCCGCACTTCATGGGACCAGCTCCAGACTACACGTGGGAACTGCAGCTCTCGCCCTAGCCAAGAGGCTGCACAGTAGCTGTTTAACAGTACGTAAGCAGAACGGGGAAGGAAGCCTGCCACGATCCCCAGCTGGTACTTCAGCGAGACACTCAGGGCTGTAAGCTAACGTGGCACCCAGCCAGGACAACAGCATTAATAACTGCTTGTTGTACAGAGCTCTGGTGCACCCCAGCCGTCGGGGACAGCCAGGCTCCGGGTGATTCACCTCCGCTAGGAGGAGGCACCGTGCAGCCAGGGAGGGAAAAAACACCACTTGCTGAGACATCAGTGTTCCTCTACAAATTCTCTGCTTTTCGCTGAAAAAATCACACCTGTAAATACACACTGGACCCAAATCTCCTTTGTCTGGTAACCAAAAGGCTCAGAGGTGGGGGTCAGGTGCTCATGTACTTGCATACAGGGAAAGGGGTTTTTTTAAGCGGGAGCTCTCCCCTCTCTGGACAATTTGTTAGTGGGTGGCTGTCAACCTCAGCATCCCCAGGAACAGAGACTCCCTGAGGACCAACGTTGTTCTGTGCCACAGAAACCCCCTTTCGAGCCTGTTTGCACTGATCTGTTCCCGGAGAGCTTCTCAAGAAGCTTTTCCACACCCTCCTTACGGGGAGATTCAAACCCTGAAACAGGCAGGGCAAGGAAGTGCTGGAGAGAAGGGACACCACGGAAATGAGACGGCACACAGGGAGCAGGGAGGCAGCCCATTAACTACAGAAAGTTGCTTTTCTACAACAAATACCACGGACACAACAGAGCTGGGGAAAACACAGCCATGGAAGACAGAGTCTACAGAAGGAGCGTCACCTAGCAGGAGCACACTGCACGCAGTCCAGGGGCTGAGGAACTAGAGGGTATTCACGCTTTAAGGCCACTGAGCTGGACTAGTCCCTGCAGAACAGCCCTCTGCCCCCATTTCCTTCCCCGGTGTCCCACGAGCACTGCGGGACTCCGCAGAGGCCCACCAGGATGTCTGTGCGGGAGCAGCTGGGAGCCGCTCCACTCGGAGCGGAGAGAGCGTTCCCTGCAGCACCTCCGGCATGGGCAAACTGGGACAGGGGAAAGCGTGAGCGCCCCCCGCATCCCCTCCCTCCCGCCAGCACTCCAGTACTCATCCTTGCAGCAGCTCCGGCTAAGGCCACGTGTAGACCTTTGACAAGTTACCCTGCTCTCTTCAGCTTTCCATATCTGTTTTGCACCCAGCCTGGAATGAGGAGCTAAAAACAGCAAATGCCACCTAGGGATTCATGCCTACGTGCCTTCATTTGGCATGACCTGGGTTGCCCTTCTCAGCACGTGGCTTTCATTCCCCCTCCATCCTTGCAGCCCCTGCTTTCCATGCAGCTAGCACAGATGGAAGAGGAAATACGGAACGTTTCCAGTCTACCTGTGCCAGGCTGCAGAGCAGCAACACCACGGGAACAGCCCAAAGCCCCCTTCTCCCCTTCCAGCCTGTGAGTTTAAGAAACGAGCGGGACTGACCTGTGAGCTCAGGGAGGACGGGGGCACTCGGGAGAGGGGTCCGCTCTACACGGAACTCTAAAAATGAAATGCAAGACAGCTTAGGAACTGGTCACACGCCCCGAGGGAGACCTCGCGGAGAGACGGCAGCGGGGGCCGCTGCGGGGACAGGCTGCAGCCAGGCTGCGACCAGGCCAACGACTTCTTCAAACCAGTTTAAAAGTGGGGCTGAAAGATGCTGGAAGCCCGTCCTGGAGATGGAAAGGATCCATTTACTGTTAGAGTGAATCTAGCCAAGGCAGGGCCAGTGCAAGCTTCACTGTGCAGCCCAGCCCAGCCCACGAGCTTCGGGTCTGCCCAGGAGCTCTGCTCTGTGACCATCCAATGTGACCTCTCAGCTGCAACACCAGCAGGTGCTCAGGACATGCCACACTGATGTGGGCAAGATTTTACGAGGTACTCGATGCCACTATAAACTGGATTCACAGAGAGCTTCCAGAAAGCTAGGAGGCAACAGCAACTTTCAGCCACAAACAGCCTGGGCTAGCTTCAGGCCAAGACACCACTTCCCCTTCCCAGCCCTTAACATCAGGCCTTGATATTTTAACCCTTAGACTGAGGGATGGAGTAAGGAAGGGATGCTCAGAGTTGCCACTTCTCCAGAAAATAGCAAGGTCTTATTTCTAAGTGTGCTTTGCATCACGTGCTTGGCTTGCACAGAACGGGAAGGAGAAGAGGCCACAGAAAGCTCCAAGCAGCTGCAGCCCAGCAGGTTCCCGCCCTCGATTGCAGAGTCCACGCTTTGAGCACGCGGTGGCCTTGGGAGTTTGAAACCCCCCAGCATGATGGCGATCTGCAGCTCACCACCTCAACAGATGTTCTCCGGAAGCTGCAAGTGTTTTGAACAACTCCTGGCCCACAACTATGGCATCGCAGGCTCCTGCATTTTGGGGGCCAAGGAATCCCCTGCCTGCAGAAAGCTATGTTTTAAAATCCAGTGCTACTTTGAGAACAGTGGCAACTCTGGTAAAGAGAGACAGACACACATAAAGGCAGCGAGACAGGCAGAGCTGCAGGGGCCCTCTGTGCTACAGCAGCAGCCCAGAGAGGAGGCTCACATAAAGGGCGGCAGAGCAGCCTTGGGCTTTTCCTGTCACTGGAGTGTGAGGATAATCCTAATGAAGGACAGGCTGTTCCCACCTATTCCAGGGCTTCACCCCTCCCCCTTCCACATCCGTCTCCAATTTCAAGAAAGACCAAGCAGGGGAAAGGATGAAAGGGACAGAGCCCGGTCCTGCATCGTGCCAGGGCTTCCCATCACCTGAAGGCAGACTGAACAAAGCAGCAGGGAGCACCACTCACCAGGAAACTGGTAAGTGTAGCCGGGTGCAATGCCAGTGTAACTTCGACTCGCGTAGGTGGCTGCTTGGAAGCCTGGATAGCCTGGTAGAAGAGAAAAGAGCTCTGTTACTGCAAGCTCGCAGAGTCCAGGTCCTCAGCCCCTACCTGCTTGCAAACAGCGTGACCCACAGGATGAAGAACTAACAGGGCTAATAGCAGAAAACCCAGGAAAACGCTGAAGCGGAGCACATGATGCGCATGAGTCTGGAGAAGAGTTTCAGCAGGCTCTTTTAATTTTTTCCTCTCTCCAAACATGTAAGGACATGGAGGTTTTCCTGTCAGAAGCTCACAGCTCTGCAAACTAAGACTTGCCGATGCATCAGCTGGATTTACGAACAGGAGCTCAGGGAGGTGGGGGCATGTGAAAGGCTGAACAGCTCTGAGTCACTTTTGTGCTAGAAGCGCTGGCGAATGCAAGCAGAGCATTCTTCCTGGCACCAGGCAGGCTGACAGCCCCTGCCGTTCCCCGGGAAGCTGACCACCTCTCCCGAACAAGCCCAGAAGAATGCAGGACGTTGACTCAGAGACGAATGTTTGATTTGAGATCTCCCAAGACACGCACACGTGCATTTCCCAGCGACTCAGCTTGGGCCTGCCTGTTTAAAATTCAGATGGCTTATGAAAGGCAAAACCCCAAACCGCAGGCTGCAGTTCTATTTTCCTTCAATAAGTCAAGTGAAAACATAGGGGAAAAAATTGCCCTTCTTGGGGTTTTGTTCAGTGACTAACTGCTACTCGGCAGGCTTAGCAGGGAAAGGCAAGCTGAGTACACCCCGCTCAGTAAGCCCAGCAATGAGCCTGAGCAAACAGTGCTCTCGGTTCAGCTCAAGCCTGGCTGGGGGGGGGAGGGGGCAGCACCCACGCTGGAGGGATCATGCTTGACTCCCAGATCCAGGCATGAGAAGTGGGGCTATAGTGGGCGCACTCTTTTTTTTTTTTTTTTAAAAAAAAAAGTCTTGTACCTGAACACATTTGTCTCAGAATCACTGAGAGACACATGAAACACAGCCTGCTTGCCACCAAGTTCCTACAGGACAGTCCCATGTTAAGTGTATAGTTCTTCTTGCAACGCACTTAATACCATAGTGGGGAGGGAATAAAGCGAGACAAAGCTTAACTACAACTTTAAGGGCATCTTTATAGCCTTTGAATGCCAGTGAGAACGCTTATGTAGAGCGCTGCATTTTAAGTGGAAAGCTTGGGGCTCTTCAAGCCTGTAGCAGCACGGGAGGAAGATGCTCGGGTGCAGATTATTCCAGACTCGGTTCAGCTATGTTGATACGTCCTTTTCCAAAGCTGTTAGAGAATCGCTGTTTATAAGGTGTCACACGGCAGGTGCACGAACTGAGTTAGGGAGGGACACGGCCCCCCAGCGCACGGCTACGCCTCTGCGGCGCCGGCTGAAGCACTACACTGACAAGTTTGCAGTTTTCCCTGGTGCCACTAGAGGGCAAGGGGCGATCGCAAACAGCTCCCGGCGCTCCCCCAGTGTCCCTGGCCTTGCACGGAGGGCGGCTGCCCTTGGCCGCCCGGCCCGCTGCACCGCGCTCTCCGGGAACACCGCTAAGCGGGGAGCGGGAGAGCTCTGCGCTTGGCTTACCCAGCATGCCGATGCCGAGCATGAAGGCGTCCATCCCGTAAGGCATCACTCGGGACCGCCCTCGCGCCGAGCCCGTCGGGGACATCACCTCCTTCGGCTGCGCTTTTTTACATTCCACCTGCCACAAGAAAGAAAA